ATGTACAATTATGTTGTGTTAAATTTTAGGCCAAGAGTTGATTTTTCTCAGTTCATTTCCTCACACCAGGGGCGATTCTAGAAACCCTTTTTAGGGGCCTTAGTCCCCCAGTGTTGACAATGGCTCTTTGCTTGAACAACACAGTGTGTATTAGCATTAGAATTATTGTAGGGGGGACATATTGGTGCGAGGTCTGAGGGTCCTCCACCATAACTTTTGGAATAAAGTTGCTGCTATTTCCTGCATTCTGATATATTTTAACAGGTTTTAAAACATCTATGTTTACCTACATGAGTAAATCCTTAATTCAATAGCTGTTTTAGAAAGCATGACACAAGAAGTAGCACTAAGCTTTTTGTTTGTCTTTAATTTAATTTAAATTTTCTAACCAACACAGGAAGCTGTTAGCTCTGGAAGCAAACTGTTAAACAGCTTTGAACACAAAGACCCTTGTCACACACTTCAAAAGAGCAGGTAAGATACATAAAATCTTGTAATATCTGCCTGGTGAGGCTGCTTACATAATTATAAAATATGATAAGTGAAATAAATAAAGAAAAAATGAGATACTGTAATTTATATTTGCAAAGGTCACATTTTCTTAACTTAATTTCAATTGTAAATCTCTTCTTTTTGATAAAAAATTTTCCAAAAGAAAGGCCAACAAATTGTAATTTGTAGTCACTGTAACCCTATTTTGACTTGTGCACTGTCTTCTTTCACTTTTAGGTTACAAAAGGTGGTGGACTGGTCACTGAAGTTGTGGAGAGATGAGGTGGAACACCAGACCTGCAATGCTCCTGTGTGTAAATGATGCTCTGAAGTCTGGTAAGATGCACGACATCCTGCTTCGCCAAAACGAGCTTGTTACTACCTCAACCACATAGATTGCGAATTTCTTGAGAATGTCGTCCAATGTATAACAATGCCTTTAAACAATTAATTTGTTGAGTTCTCTTGCTTGGTACATTATTTTTCTTTTCTTTTTTTTTTTTCTTTTTTTGTTTAACCAATTTGAAACATGACGGTAATGTTACTGTTTAAAGAAAACAATTGCTCAACAAATTAGTAAAATGTAACTTTTATTTGTTGTTTGGGTTCTTTCATCTACATGGTGTGATCCGTGTACTGTTTTTGATTTTTTGTTTTTACTGTAACTGACCTTCAAAAGAGTAAAAAACAGGGACTCAGCAGCAGATTTCTGTAGAAAAATTATATGGACTACAGGCCATGTATTATTTGTCTTGTGCCCTTAAGTGAAGGTTTTAGTTTGGATTAAGACAAAAAATGTCTATATTTCACCACAGATTAACTGTTTCTGTTGCCATATCTTTTGAAATAAAACTGCAGAACACAAAGTAATTTAAACAGGAATGGGTAGAAGATTAAATCAAATTCAATGCATTTCCTAAAAATTAAATGAAGATAAAAAAAACTGGAGTGGTACAGGATTGGGAGTGATTCTGAACAGGAGCAGGAGTCATGTTACCAGGAGTGGAACAGGACAGGATTTTATTTTATTTTATTTTTTTACTCTGGACCAGGATTGGGACAGGATTTTGTTTTTGTGGGACCAGGACAGGACAGGAGTGAAAATCCACTCCCGTGTCATCCTCTACTCTCTTCACCTCTACTACATTCGTTGCTAACTACTCCTTCAGGACCACCCCTACTCCATTTCTCTTTCTATCCACCATGGTAAAACAGTTTGAACCCTGCTCCAATGCTGCGAGCCTTGCTGCCCTTCCACTTGTTCTCTTGGACACATAAAACATCTACCTTTCCTCTCTGCATCATGTCAGCCAGATCTCTACCTTTGCCTCTCATTGTCCTCACATTTAGAGTTGCAACCCTCAGTCCTACATTCTTTATTTTCCTCTTCTCCCTCTGTCTCCTGACACGTTTCCCTCCTCGTGGTCTTCAACTAACAATAGCACAATTTCCACCGGCAACCTGTTTGTCAACAGCACCGGTGGCAGTCGTTGTTAACCCAGGCCTCGACCGATCCGGTATGGTTTCGCTTTGATGAACTCGCATAATGTTTTTGGCAAAAGTATTTTACATCAGATGCCATTCCTTACACAACCCTCACCATTTACCTGGGCTTGGCATCGGCACAAGAGATACACTGGCTTGTGCTCCCTAGTGGCTGAGGCCACTGAAATGGATAAAAAGCTCCTTGGTAGCAGGGCCCCAGGGGTGGATAAGATTTGCCCGAAGTTTATTAAGGCTCTGGATGTTGTAGGGTTGTGTTGATGAGTTGAGAGTTAAATAAAATGTTGTTTTTCTGACTATTTTAACCTGTGATATAAAGTGTTTTTTGTGCATGTTGTTGTGAGTTACCCAGAGGCCTGAGGAGGAGGCCCGGCCCACCTCCTCCTGTACGCTATCTGGAGGTTTTTCTCAACCTAGCTTCTCACGCTCCCTCGTTATCTAGAGGTTTTTTAAGCTTCTCACGCTCTCGCGCTATCTCAAGGGTTTTTCGCAGACTTTGAGTCCAAGGTGGGCATGTTGCTGGGAGATGTTCCCATGTAATGCAGAGAGTATTAAAGTGTGACACTCAGAATTAGAGTTGAAGTCTGCTGTGGATCCTGATCCAATGCCCAGCCTGAATTGATGCTACCTTTTTACTCGGACTGAAATGGCTTCCCGGTCTGGTGTCATGGTGAGGGGCTTTTTACATCAATATCTGATTTGTACTGAATGTACTGGTGCTTTGCTTTGCTGTATCTGTGGCGGTGTAATAAAAATTACACATTATTATTCTAGCAGAAACAGCCTGTGAGTTTTTTTTTATTTATTGCTCCGACCGTCCACCCGACCCTGTCTTTTATTTAAGATAATTTCATAGAACAGTTGGCTTACATGAATTCATTCAAACTTTATTTAGTCTGATAAGTCACATTGAGCCTAGAAGACTCATTTACAAGTGAGATCTGTTTAGACAGACAAAAAGTAGTGAAACTGGACACGTAGGAATTGGAGGCAAAACAATTCTTATCAGACCTTTTCTTCCTGCCTGAGAAGAAAAACTCTGATATTAAAAAACACCTCGCACAAACAAGCACATAGTGACGTAGACATTCTGCAGAGGGGGAATATTAGTGCTTAGTGTATTTTTAGATGATGTTTTTCTTAGTTCATATCTTAGATGTTATCAGATTTTCTTTTACTTTTTTTGTTGGATGTAACCGTGACCCTGTGTATATAATTTCGTTCCACTACATGTACCACATGTGGTGCGAACAACAATAAATCATTTCTGACTCTGACTCTCTCTGACTCTAGAATATTGCATGGACATCATAGACAGTTCCCCTGGATTGGCAGACAAGGGTGGTGGTCCCCCTATTCAAAAAGGGGGACCGTAGAGTGTGTTCCAACTACAGGGGGATCACGCATTTAAGCCTTCCTGGTAAGGTCTATTCGGGGGTTCTGGAGAGGAGGGTCCGTCAGATAGTAGAACCTCAGATTCAGGAGGAGCAGTGTGGTTTTCGTCCTGGTCGTGGAACACTGGACCAGCTCTACACCCTCAGCAGGGTCTTGGAGGGTGCATGGGAGTTTTCCCAACCAGTCTAAATGTGCTTTGTGAACTTGGGGAAGGTGTTTGACCACGTCCCTTGGGAAACCCTGTGGGGGGTACTTCGGGAGTATGGGGTACCAGGCCCTTGGATACGGGCTGTTAGGTCCCTGTACGGCCGGTGTCAGAGGTTGGTCCGCATTGCCGGCAGTAAGTCGGGCTTGTTTCCAGTGAGAGTTGGACTCCGCCAAGGTTGCCCTTTGTCATAGATTTTGTTCCTAACATTTATGGACAGAATTTCTAGGCGCAGCAAATGTGTTGAGATCTGTTTTGGTGGCCTTAGGATCACGTCTCTGCTTTTTGCATGTACTACCTGAACATAGACGAGGTAGAAAAGAGAGTCTTGACGTCCTTTTCAGGGACACCACCAAGTCATTGGTTCAGGTATGTTTACGACACCTGGGTTCAAAGTAAATCTCAGGAAGTCCAACATTTCACCGATTACATCAACTCTGTAGATAAATTTATCAAGTTCACACAAGAAGATGTAAAAAAAAAATGGCAGGTTAGCATTCTTAGACTGTGAGGTCTCAGTTCCTGATAGAGGACATTTGCAAACTGAGGTGTACTGCAAGCCTACCCACACAGACTAGTATTTGCAGTTTGACTCCCATCACCCTTTGAAGCACAAGTTAGGAGTCATCAGGACTCTGTACCACAGAGCAGACAGCGCCCCCACTAACTCAGGAGCTAGGCAAAATGAGAAATACCACACAAGACAGGTTCTAGAGCAATGTGGATATACTAACTGGGCCTTCCTGAAAGCAGAGAAGAAACCCAAACAGGACTCCAACCAGCCATCAGGTGAAAAGGAGGAACCCAGACCCAGACCAGTGGTCATTCTATATGCTGAGGGAGTATCAGAGAAATTGAGACATTTATTTTCTAAACATAACGTCCCAGTGGCTTTTAAACCCCAAAATACATTACGGCAAAGACTGGTTCATCCCAAAGATCCAGTCCCCCAAAACAATCAGAGTAATATTGTGTATGCTGTTTAGTGTCAGGAGGGCTGTGATCAGTCTTACATTGGGGAAACTAAACAGCCACTGGCCAAAAGAATGGCCCAGCACAGAAGATCAACATCATCAGGCCAGGACTCTGTGGTCTACACTCTTCTCCAGGCCAGTGGTCATGAGAGAGCTGAGCTGTAAGTCAAAGCTCTCTGTTTAATGGTCAGGATACTTTCGTACCCTCACCTATGGTCATAAACTCTGGGTAGTGACTGAAAGAATGAGATCCTGGATACAGGCAGTTGGAATGAGTTTCCTCTGCAGGGTAACTGGACTCTCCCTCAGAGATAGGGTGAGAAGTTCAGTTATCCGGGAAAGACTCAGAGTAGAATCGCTACTCCTCTACAATGAGAGGAGCTAGTTGAGGTGGTACAGGCATCTGGTAAGGCTGTTCCCTGGGCACCGCCCTAGGGAGATGCTTTGGGCATGTCCAACTGGGAGGAGAGCCCAGGGAAGACTCAGGACATGCTGGAGACTACGTCTCTTGATTGGCCTAGGAATGCCTTGGAATCCTCCCAGAAGAGCTGGAAGAAGTGGCTGTGGAAAGAGATGTCTAGACCTCCCTGCTCAAGCTGCTGCCCCCATGACCCGACTTCAGAATAAGGGGAAGATACTGGATGGATGTTGGGAGAAATTGATGAGGGATTTGTTTGATTGGATATCTATATAATTTATTAGTTATGAGTTAAGCTCATAAGATATGCATTTATTATGCAAATAACCTCGTTAGGTGGGCACCACCTCTTGAAGAGGAAAAATCATCAGTCTCTAACCCTCAAATTAAATGTAAACTGAAACGTGAATTCTTCATCTCAAAGGTGGTGTTCCCCTACACAATAAACAGTGTGTTTTGATACATTTACCTGTTCATTCAGGGTGTTGTAGCCACATAGCGTGTTGATAACCTCTCCTGCCTGTGTGAGGAGCCAAGACAGAAGGTCAGAAACAGGACTAAAGTGCAACATGACAACTGGAGACAGTAACTTATTACAGTATGCAACAGTAATGATGTCCCTGAGGATCTGTACTTGCTTAGTGCCAGTTCCACTGAAAACCTGTATAAGGACAGGAGCCATGGCAGCCAAGAACTCATAATAGCACAGATGTTCAGTCTTTCTAATTTCTATATCTAATGTGTGTGTGTGTGTGTGTGTGTGTGTGTGTGTGTGTGTGTGTGTGTAAAGACAGCACCAGAGTATTATGTCATTAATTTCTCTGGTGCAACTTCACTATCAGACCCCAGGCACACAAATGATTGAGGGCCAAAGGACGATAGAGAAGGACTTCAGGGGATTTTAATTTATAAAGAAAAATATCTCAAGGTCAATACAGTGAGGAAAATAAGTATATGAACACCCTGCGACTTTGCAAGTTTGCCCACTTAGAAATCATGGAGGAGTCTGCAATTTTCATCGTAGGTGCATGCCCACTGTGAGAGACATAATCTTAAAAAAAAAATCTGGAAATCACAATGTATGATTTTTTTAAAATAATTTATTTTTGTGTTACCGTTGCAAATAAGTATTTGGATGAACACCTGTGAAAATCAATGTTAATATTTGGTACAGTAGCCTTTTCCTGGTGAAGATTCTCAGTCATCAGGATATGATGTTGTTTCCTCACTCCTCCCTTCCCCAAGGCCGTGGACATGTAATAGAACCTCAACTGAGCTGAAGATGAATGTCACCTCTTATCTGGACAATGGCTGGGGGGGGGGTGTTCTCTGGACTATGCTACGACTTTCCCTTAAAAATTCAATGTTTTCACCGGCCTATATGCATATGTATAACGTCTGTTTATGTTGCTTTGCTGTGGTAGTTTTTTTTTGATGCCTCAAATCGTGCCCTGTCTAGGACATGGCGTGAGAGATCTTTTTTTAATATCGTCTCTCCTCATGTTTTCGTCCCTTTTCTCATCTAAGCAAAATATTATTCTGAATAAGAATAAAAAGGCAGCGCTATTTAATAGCCGCAGCTTTGTGCACTCCGCCCATCTTTCGGATGACTGTACGTACATATTCTCGTTGTATCTAAGTGCAATGCCAATAAAGTTTATTCTGATTCTGATATGATAAATTCAAAAAACGTTCAATACAAGAACAACATTATTTGTAACGGAAGACATTTTGCTCCTCATCCGAGAAGCTTTCTCAATTCAAAGAGCAGTGAGTGAGGGGTTCAGGTTATAAGGCTGAGTGAGATAAGATACACATACATATGTAGATTGACAATTCACACCTCAACACCTTAACTGTAGGGGTTTCTTAAAGTCTGTGTTACTCTAATTCACAGATGAGGCCCCTCTGTTCCCATCAGGTGTGAAAACTGGCTGGGAATCAGTCTTAAAGTTGCATTATATGTTTTTGAAAGTGGAAATCTGAGGCCGCCTCCTCTGTTAAGAGATGGTTTTTCTCTTTTTACATAAATTTCTTCCTTCACCCCCCTCTCAAACCATCTGTATTCTCGGTTCTTCTCACACAGATGGAAAACAAGAATTAAACTTTAAATCAAAGCTAAAATAAAATAATCTGTATACAAGAAACAAAACCACACATCTAAATAGAACAATAAAAGTAGACAATGAGTGCAAATACATCAAATGATGAAGACAACCTATAAATAATAATCAGTTTCAGATATGTCATCATTTCTATGCTGATGATATTTAGCTATATTGTTCCTTCAGACCTTCTGAACATTGCAAACTGTCCTCGTTAAACTGTATTAGCAATATCAAACAATGGTTCAGTGACAACTTCCTTCAGGTTAACTGCGATAAAACTGAAACCTTAATTATTGCTCCTGACAATCAAACAGCTGAAATTAAGCAACATCTTGGTCTAGTAGCCTCTTCTGTCAAACCAAATCTCAGAAACTTTGGAATTATTTTTGATTCTGCCATGTCATTGCAATGCCATTCTCATGGATTTATCAGAAATTGCTTTTTTCAATTGAATATTTCTAGGCTTAAGTCTCTTGTGTCAAAAGCTGAATTAGAGATGATTATCCATGCTTTTAGTACGTCCCGTCTGGATTACTGTAACAGTCTTTTCATTTGTTTGACCAAGAAGAATCTTGATCTTGAGCTACAAAAAGATTTGAAGCTCTCGACCTTGACCTCTCTAAGTGTCTTTAAGAATCTGTTGGACACCTGGCAGGGTCCAATGCTGACATGTTCCTGTTTTTAGTTTTCTACATTTGTCTTGGAATCTAGCTGGGTTTTTTTTTGTTTTGTTTTTTTTGTTACCTTTTCCTTTTAGCCATCCTATTTGTTAAAAAAACAAACAAAAAAAAACTAGTATGCTTTTTTATAACTGTTTATTGTTGTTGCTGTTGTCCATTGTTGTCATCTTTCTTTGTTGAAATCAGGTCTCTCTTGTAAATGAGTCCTCGAGGCTCAATGGGATTTACCTGTAGAAATAAAGGTTGATTGATTGATCGTTTGCAGACAGTTCAGAATGCTGCTGCAAAGCTTTGAACCAACACATGGAAAAGACAATACATATCACTAGTTTTAATTTCTTTATATTGGGTACCGGTATGTTTTAGAATTCATTTTAAAATTTTAGTTCTTACTTTTAGAGCCCTGAGTAGTCAAGTCCCAGTCTACGTTTCTGACCTTTTAGAGCCCTACTCCTCTTCTCGGAGCCTCAGATCTTCCAGTTAAAGGCTGTTAATTGTCCCACGGACTCATTTTGGGGGCGGCTGTGGCTAAGTGATTAGAGCAGTCATCCTCAAATGCGAGAGTTGGGAGTTCGAATTAGAGGATTACATTTTTTCGGGAGTACCACCGGTCACGTGATTCCGGCCGGATTCCGGCCGGACCGGAGTCAACCTCATTATAACTCACGTGACCGGGATGTGACCGGACTGAAAGCTAACGGGAGCAGACAAGAGCGGGAACCGACCAATAACCAAAAATGAAAATGAAACAAACAAACAAAAAAAAAAAAAAAACACGGGCACAGCTATTTTGTAGTTTTCTTTCAGTAAGCCTTTACTTTAACACAAGTCAAAAGAACTACATTTCCCAGGAGTCAAGTGTTCGAGCCGTAGCTTTTCACCGAGAGGGGGAGGAACAGCGAGCGAAGCGGTACCGAGTCTGAAAATAGTTTGCAATGCAAGGTAAGAAGTAACTGTCTATTAAACTCACAGAACAGGCAGGAAAGTGTCAATAACCCTGAACTTCATGAGAGTTGTGTGTTGGTGCTGTGCTGCTTTAAACTTTAGTCTCAGCTGTGAGGAGCTGCGGGGAGTCGGACTTTGTTTACCGTCAGTAAAGGAACAGACTCAAACAGCGCATTTTTCTCCACCTTGTCCCTTTTAATTTAAAAATGATGCTCTGCTTTGTTATGTGGGTTTTTAGGTTAAAATCTTCATTATCTGTTGCTGTTTGTAATGTTAAAAAAAAAAAAAAACTGTTCCTGGTTAAAGTGCACGCATACTCCAGTAAAAATATCCCAGTTTTTATATGAAAGGCTGGTTACATATATATTATAATAACTGTTATTGTAGGGGGGACATATTGGTGTGAGGTCTGTGGGTCCTCCCCCATAACTTTTTTAATAAAGTAGCTGCTATTTCCTACATTCTGGTGTATTTTAACAGGTTTAAAATAATAATAATACTTTATTTATAAAGCCCTTTAAAACAACCACAGCTGCCACAAAGTGCTGTACATATAAAATCAAGAACATTTAAACACATAAAAACAGTTGTTAAAACATTAAGATCAATAAAAACTAAAAACAGTGCAGAGCAAAATTCAGTGTGTGCTAAAAGCCAGGGAGTAAAAATGTGTTTTTAAAAGAGTTTTAAAACTGGACAGTGAAGGAGCTCGTCTGATGGAAGAGGGAGATCGTTCCACAGTCTTGGAGCAGCAACAGAAAAAGCTCTGTCCCCTCCGAGCCTCCGCTTGGACCTCGGCACCTCCAGGAGCAGCTGATCAGCTGATCTGAGGCACCGAGCAGGAGAGTATGGGTGAAGCAGCTCAGAGGTAGGATGGAGCAAGACCATTTAAACTTTTAAAAACAAATAAAAGAATCTTAAAATGAACTCTAAAATGAACGGGCAGCCAGTGGAGTGAAGCCAGAGTGGCGGTGACGTGCTCCCTTTTTTGAACTCCAGTTAGAAGCGGAAACTTTTATGTTTACCTACATAAGTAAATACTTTATCCAATAACTGTTTTATAAAGCATGGCAAAAGAAGTAGCACTAAGCTTTTTGTTTGTCTTTAATTTAATTTAATTTTCTACCTAACACAGGGAGCTGTTAGCTCTGGAAGCAAGCTGTTAAACAGCTTTGGACACAAAGACCCTTGTCACACACTTCAAAAGAGCAGGTAAGATACATAAAATCTTGTAATCTCTGCCTGGTGAGGCTGATTAAATAATTATAAAATATGATGATATGAAAAAAATAAATAAATAAAATATGATAAGTGAAATAAATAAAGAGAAATTGAGCTTCTGTAATTTATAATTGCAAATGTTGCATTTTCTTGACTTAATCAATCAACCTTTATTTATACAGGTAAATCCCATTGAGCCTCGAGGACTCATTTACAAGAGAGACCTTATTTCAATAAAGAAAGATGACAACAATGGACAACAGCAGCAACAATAAACAATTATAAAAAGTCATACTGCAGTTTGTTTGTTTGTTTTTTTACAAATAGGATGGCTAAAAGAAAAAGGTAACAAAAAAAAAAAAACAGCTAGATTCTAAGGCGAATGTAGAAAACTAATAACAGGAACATGTCTGCATTGGTCCCTGCCAGGAGTCAAACAGATTCTTAAAGACACTTGGACAGGTCAAGGTAGAGAGCTTCAAATCTTTTTGTAAGAAATTCCAGGAAACAGGAGCGGAGTAGGAGAAGGTCCTTTTGCCTAGTTCAGTCCTCACTGAAGGAACACT